ACCTCGTATGGAAGATGAGGTGGCTGTTAGGGAGACAGTGGTGAGAGGAGACGGTGCAAGATCAGAGGCGATGTGGTGTTGTGGGGAGATAGGGGGGGAGATTGGGGCATCTGGGTAGAGATGGGGTGATTTGCCTTGGTCCCGAAACTGGAAAGGTGCGCCGGGAGCCTAGCCCGGCGGGGCAATTTTTATTTCCCCATATCTCCCCATATTTTCCCATATTTCCCCCAGGTTGTTGGAGATGAACCCGACGTCCAAGGGGGGGCACAAGGGGGTGCATCGCCTTGGCCACAACGACGCCTGGGGGGAGGGGCAAGCCTCTCGCTGGGCCTTGTTGGCAGAGGGGGAGCAGGTGGGCCTCACTTCCCTGGACATTTTGCCCCCCCCCCCCCCCCTTACGCACACACTCCCTCCCAACACCCGCTGCTCTTCCGCCCGCCCTGCAGTTCGCAGCGGTCGATGGATGGCACGACTCTGCTCCATCGAGGTCTTTGATACATAGCCGAGATAGCGCCGAGGTGCAGCCGAGATGCAGCCAAGGTGCAGCCGAGGTGCGGCCGAGGTGCAGCCGAGGTGCGGCCGAGGTGCAGCCGAGGTGCAGCCGAGGTGCAGCCGAGGTGCAGCCGAGATATAGTGAGGTGCGCCGAGATATAGCCGAGGTGCGCCGAGATGCAGCCGAGATGCTACCCGAGGTGTAGACGAGATGTAGTCGAGATATAGCCAAGGTGCAGCCGAGATGAGCCGAGATCGAGATTCGTCACGTGCTTGTGGTGTCGTGCTCGGCCACAGCGGGATCGACTCCCTCTTTAGGGAGGCCAAGCGAGCGCGCGGTACGCTGCAGATCCTTGGCCCCAATGGCGGCAAGGGGAAGGGGCAAGCCTCGCGCGCGACGACGGAACAAGACGACGAGTGCGGCAGCGGCGCGGCGACCCAGGCGAGAGTGGAGGTTCCGTTCAAAGTGGATGGAGGGGAATTATTCCCGACTAATTCGTGTCGGTCATTGTTAGGCTCGGACGCCGCCAGTGGGGGCGGCCAAGGTCTCAATAGTTCGTTCGAAAATCGGAAACAATGAATCTCTATTCACCCCCCCCCCCGGGTGTGTGGACAGGCGCTGTTCGGGAGCGGGCTCCTCGATGCGGCCAGCCACGTCCATTGCCTCCTTGGCCGCATTTTGGCCACCACTCACGACGCCGCGCTCGCTGAGTACAAACGCGATTGGCCTTTCGGGGAGTTCACTCCGTCTTCAGTCGTCCGTCTTGACAACTTCCTCCGCCTGAAGGACAAGGCAAAGGCACGGCCTTCAGGCACGGCCTTTGTCATTTGGTTCGGGCACGGCCTCCTCACGGAGGTGGCAGCGCTGGCAATGGCTGGCTCCGCGAGGCGCGTGTCTATCGATGTGTACGAGGTGAACGCGAGCGCCGTCGCGGTGGCGCATCTGCTCCTCACCGCGCCGGACGCGAGTGGCGATTCGATGTCCAAGACACGCGAGCTGAACGGGTGGAAGATCAACTTTCGGGGCGACATGAGCTCCTACCCGCGGCTGACGGCCCGCGGCAGGGACCTCGTCTTCTCCACCATCCCCTTCCAGCGGGGGCTGCACGAGCGCATGCGGCAGCTCGCGTATAACGCCTTCGCACCACTCTGCATGCTGAGCCGGGCGTGGAGCAGCAGCGCGACGAGCGAGGCGGGCTGGGGCGTCGCGGAGCCGGTGCTCGACAAGCGCTCCATTCCAGTGCGGTACGTCGGGGGCGGGGACTTGCACCTGCTCATGGGCTGCTTGTCGGTCAATGAAACGTAAGTTCGGGACAGATATGCGGTGCGCCGGCCCGCCGTTGAAGCGAGGCTGCACTTCCTCGCTCCCTCGATCTCCGCCTGTCTCTGTCTTATCTCTGTCGCGTCTCTGTCTGCCTCTGTCTGTCTGTCTGTCGGTGGGCGGCGTGGTTGGCAGCCAGCTTCCTCTGCTGCCGCCTCAAGTGAGTCTCGTCTCGCTCTCGCTCTCTGCCTCTCTCTGTCCCTCTCCTTCTCTCGCTCTCTCTGCATCGATCTGTCTCGTAACGTGGGTCTTTGGGTCTCTCCGTCCCTCGATCTATCGGCTGATATCTCTAGTGTCTTTGGACTTTGTACTGCATGATTTTCTTTGATGCACACGTCGAAACCTTACCTCTTTATGCTGTCCGAAGTTCTATGCGAGAGAGTCATCCCGAGCCACACTCTCGCGCCTCACTCTCAGCCCCTCGTCCGTCTCGAGTCGACGGCCCCCGCCGCTACGCGCTACCGGGCGGTCTACGTAGGGAGATCTCGGTTCTTGCCCAATCCCCTCGCGCGGCTAGCGCACCGCCTGGTTGCGGTTTGCCAGCACCTGCTGGAAGTGCCGGACGGCCTTCCAGTCTATCGACGAGGGGGCGAAGCCGCCGCCGCCGCCGCCGATTTGGGGCATGAACTGATGCAGGTCCTGGAAAACGGCGGGATAGAACTGTCCGTTCTTCTTCTCTCCCTATGGTTCCACCCGATCGGGAGTTAGGCCGCGCAGCAACCTGTAATTCTCTCTGAGTGAAATGGTGTGAGTGCCGCGAAAAGGGCGAGCATCCCCCGGATGAAGTTCTTGCACCTATTACCAAATGCCGTAATGTTGAGAGGCATGCATGTGAGCAATGCCTTGACGAGCGAGCGCGCCTAGACACGAAGGATTGCCTTGGACAGGTCGTGTCGGCCAATCTCAGAACGACTCGTAGTCGCGCCAGACGTCCCAGCAGATGTTGAAGGCGAACTCGAAGGAGAGGCCGGTGAGGGGAGAGATGTAGACGAGGTACGCGTTGTCTTGGCTGTGCCTACAGGCCAAAGAGCAGCATGTTTCTACCTGAGAAAAATAACGTGTGGCGAGCGAAAGTTCGCCCGCGATACTTCCACCCCGAGGTCGCTGGGTAGAGTGAGCACAGCTTCTCGAGCGCGCCCTTGATCGCCTCCCGGTACATGCGCGTCTTCTGTCCGGTGCTCTGGTAGGACGCAACTTGTCCGGAGAAGGTGACATGCGCTGAGCGGATGCACGACTGAATCTGCTGGAGGTCGTTCGGCTCAACGAACTTCTCGATGACGTGCAACGAGTCCAGTCGCGACGTGCGGTCGTTCTCGGCGACCTCACCGTGGCGGTGCTCGTCGATGTCGACAAGCGTCTTGTACGTCACGTCGAAGTCTGCAAAGCGGCAAAGGAGGACGCCGGCGTGCTGCAAAACGAGCATGGAGCGGAGAAAGTCCATCGCGTGGGGCGCGTTCTGCTTGTTGACCGTGGTGCCAGCGCTCAGAGAGATGACAAAGCGGGTGATGCTGAAAGAGTTGAGCAGCTTGCCGTACTCGGCACGCATGACGGCGGCTTGCACGGTGCACATACGGCACTGAAGGCCGCAGAGCGGTCCGCAGGGAATGACCGCCTTGGCGCATTCGTGGCACGGCTCTCCACCCGCCTGCGCGTCGTTGGGGCAGCAGGAGTGGAGGCAGAGAAGGCGCTGACCGGACATCATCACCCTCGCGGACTCATGAGTGATGATGGATCTACTTTTTCTTTTGAGCTTAGCCTTCGATGTTAGAAAATTTTCTTTTTCTCTGTGTGTGTGCCAGTCCGCGCCAGTCCGCGCCCTTGTCGTGCCAGTGTGCTGTGAGAGAGGCTTGTATCTTAAGAATTCTTTTTCTTAGCCTTCGATGTTATGAAACAACGCAAGGCGGAGTGTGAGTGTGTGTGTATACTCACTCACACGCAAGGCGGACATGGCATATCGCTCTCGGGCCCACAGACATCCCGCACACTCGCCGCACACCCGCCGCCCCCGCGCGCGCCCCACCCCGGCCGGGAGAGAGGGGAGTGACAGTTTGGGACGGCAACCGAGCCCGAGTATGTTGAGTCCTGGCTCAACAACGCAGATAACAAGAGGGGGTGGTCCGGCTCCCAAGTCCGGCTCACGCGCCTCGAGCTGACCGATCTACCGCACTGGTCACTTCCGCCCCCTCGCTCCCAACCCATCCACCCCGCCCCGGGCCGCGCCGCGCGATCTCGGGCGATCTCGCGCTATCTCGGGCGATCTCGGGGCCGCGCCGCGCTATCTCGGGCGATCTCCCCTTTGTGTTTTAGGTATATTGTGTGGATAATTGAAAAATGAAGTTTCAAAGAATTCACTCAGGCATTCACTCACTCACTCACTCACTCACTCACTCAAACTCACTCGTGCACACAGACTGTTCTTACCTCACACATTTCACCCCGATTATGGTTCCTTCTTCACTTAAGAGTCACTTGACTCGCTCAGTCAGCAGCTGACGTGCAGCCGGCGTGTGCTCGGCCGAGGATGACCGAGGATCAGCCGACATACAGCCGACGTGCGGCCGAAGTATGACCCGACCAGGAGCAGCGTGTGCAGAGGCGGAGAACTGCGACAACTCTCTGTGCACTTGACTGGAAGGTACCGAGAATGTTCGTGCGAGGCTACGCGAGCGGGACGGTGGTGTCCCCCGCTGGAAGAGCCGCGTCGGGGAGAGCGCGGTCTAGCAGAGGTGGGGCAGAGGCGGCAGGGGTGAGGGGGAGGCGTAGGGTGGGCGGAGAGGCACCGGGAGGGGGGGGGAGGAGGCGGCGGGGAGGCGGGGCGAGGGTCGAGCGAGTGGCCACTCGGCGATTGCATCAGCCGAGCTCCTCCGCGGCAACGATACTCACCCGGCACAGCGCCGTCATGCCGTTACAGCCTCACCGCGATTGAGCCTGATTGCGGGCGGGCGGGCGAGGCGCAGCCACACTCGGGGGAGGTGGGCAGCAAGGGCGGCGGAGCGGCGGGGGCGGGGGGGGTGGAGGAGATGGGAGTGGTGGGCGGTGGTGATTGAGGGCGGCTGCGCGCTGCAAGCGGAGAGGGAGTGGGAGGGAGGGCCTCCTCCGCATGGGTTCTGCCGGGAACAAGTCTCGTCGGACACGGCTGAGGTGCTGTTCTGTGGAGAGGGAGGAGGGTGGCCGAGCGCGGCGAAGGAGAGACTGAGAGTGCCGGCCACGGGCGGGCCGGTCGGGTTACAAAATTTTGAACTTCGGTCATCAGGCGGGCTACTGAGGTCTCGGGGAGATATTCGGCGAGCCCCCACTTTTTTGATGAAGCCATCCATCTGGGCTGATCTCGCGAGACGTTTTTCTTTTTCGACCGATCTTCTACCTATCTTTTCTCTGACACTGCTGTACCGTCGGGTACTTATTTTAAGATGAGGTAAACAGCAATAGATCCGGCGAAGCGGCCTAATCGATACCCAGCCCTCACGGAATCGGTCCCTCCTTCAGTGCCCGACCTGCCAAACTTGCCGAGAATCGGTCCCCCACCCAGGTCACCTGTGGCGCGAAGCATGTCTCCCGCCCTCGGTGCGCCGACCGAGACCATAAGAAGCGGCGCAACGAGCTGGCTGCTGCCGACAAACACTGCAGTTGTATTTAAATCTCAGCGGCCTACTCCGCACAGCTTTGGCGTGGGCGTGGCGATAGGATTTTTTTCCTTTTTCGATGATGAGTTGGGGCTCAGCTCCAAGAGTGCCGTGCCGCAGGAATGAGGCTTCCGAGCACGCTCGCTGTGGCGAGCGAGCCTTCCCGCTTCACGCCGCTCGAGAGCTGGGACCTCGAGTCGGGCGGCTTCCGACCTCTCGCTCCGGGTCTGTGGCTCCTGCGTGGCGAGAGAAGCCACCTGCCCGAAGGCGCGTGCAGGCTGCTCCGGCCTGTAGCGAGGGCCGCAAGCCTCGAGCGGCTGCTGCGCTCAGCTGCCTCCTCCTCGCAGCAAATCCCAGCGCGGTGGCGGCTCCGCTTCCTCGCCCGCGACGGCGGCAGAGCAGCGCCGCTCGCCGGTGGTCCGCGGTCGGAGATGGCGGCCGAGGCGTCCGACATCCTCTGCACCGCCGCGCGTGCTCTGCCGGGCGAGCCGGCGCTGCAAGGTCCATCGCCGCTGCTCCTCCTCGTCCGCACTCCGCGGCTGTGGTACCTGGCTCTCGACGTCACCGTCTCGCGCCAGCGCAGCGAGGCGGAAGAGGCGTGGAGGCTTCGCCCGTACTCCTTCTGCTCCGCCACCGACCTCCGCCTCGCCCGCCTCGCCGTCTCTCTCGCCGCGGCGCACCGGGCGGCGGGCGACAATGGGGCGCTGCTCGACCCCTGCTGCGGCTCGGGCGGCATCCTCTTTGCCGCGCGGCTCGCCGGCTTGCGCGCGGTCGGCCTCGACAGGAACCCGACCGCGGTGGAGGGCGCGACGGCGAACATGGCAGCGGTCGACGCGCTTCTGGATGGCTCAAACGGCTCCGGTGGTGGTGGCGGCGGATGCGGCGGCGGCGGCAGCGGCGGGAGCGGCGGCGGCGGCGGCGGCGGCGGGAGCGGCGGCGGCGGGAGCGGCGGCTCCTCCGTGCTCGAGCACGACTGCCGCGACCCGCTGCCGCGCGAGGCGGTGCGCGGCGTTGCTCTGGTCGCGTCCACGCTTCCGTGGGGCTGACTCACGCCGGGGAGCTCTCTCTCTCTCTGAGCCGTCCCTGAGCCTTCTAGGTCGTGTCCAACCTGCCGTGGGGCCGCAACACGCGGCTGCCGCACGCCGAGTACCTCTCCTCCCTCCTCGCCCCGCTCGCCAGCTCGCTGCCCGGCGCCACCTTCTGCCTCGTCACCGCCGAGCCGCTCGAGCCCGCCACTCTCGCCGCCACCAACCTCGCGCCGCGGCGGGTGGAGGCGGTGGGACGGCGCTGTGTCCTCTCGCTGCTCGAGCCGGCGGGCCCGGGGCAGGGAGCAGTGCCGGACGCGGCGGGGGCGAGGGTCGGGGCGGCATCCGCGAGCGGCGGCGGCGGCGGCGGCGGCGACGCGGCCGAGCGGGGCGAGGTGCTCGTCGGGGGCGGGCTCCGGTCGGCGGCAGGTTCGCCCTCGCTGCGCGTCCGCCTCGTCGCGGGCGCGCTCATCGAGGTGCAGCATCGGGCGGCCGAGGGCGGGCGGACTTGGGCCACGGCCCGCGTCACGGCGGTGGCGGAGCCGGGGCTCTGCACTGTCGCGTGGCGGCCGAGCGGCCAGACGTCGGTCCTGCGGCTCTCGCTGCACGGTGGGCCAAACTGGCGGTTTGTGGATCTTTGAGAGTAGCTCTGCGCCCCTTCGTTCGTGTTAGAAGAGCGTTTCTTTAACTTGTGTTCTGCAATAGATCTGAACACACAGTCGAAACACACAGGGACACAGGTCTCCGTAGTGCGTATGGTAGCGTTCAACCCGTTCCGGCATCGCCAGTGCTTTACGTAATTTTGTGATTTGTGTGGCGCCTCATGAATCCTCGAGATTTTGACACTGGCAAACTCAGAATAAGAGCCTGATGCCGGCATGCCGCGCTCCTCGCACACAGCCACCAGCTCGGGCTGCTTGCTGAGCAGCTCGAGCTTCTGCGCAGAAGCGAGAGGAGGTTCAGTATTTGTAGGTGGGGCGTGTGTGACGAGGGGGGGCAAGTGCGCGCCTTCAAGCTCGGGGCCGCTCCCTGCTCGAGGGCGGCGGCCAGCGTTTTGCAGCCCTCCTCACCAATCTGGTTGTAGTGGAGAAGGAGCTCCTTGAGCCGCGGCGCTGCCCCCTCCTTGCCGAGGGCGGCCCTGTTCACGCGCGCGCGAGACGTGCAGACACAGGGTTGCCAGGTGAGAGCGAATGGCGCGGTTCACGCCTCGCACAACAGAGAGAGAGATGCGCTCTGCATGGTGGGACATAAAAGAGAGCGAGTACTTGGGCGAGTAGGCCGTGCGGTCGACGCTGCCGCGCGCGACTTTGCGCGCGAGGCGGCGCAGCTTGAGAACGGCGGTGGGCGAGAAGCCGCCGCCGAACGTCTCGTGGAGCAGCAGGTTGAAGTTGTTGCGCTTGACAAAGATCGCGTCGTGGTAGAAACCGCGATGTGTGTTGAAGCCGTTGCTTCATCAGTGAAACAAGATGGTAACCAAAAAAAGAAAATGCAAACCGAACAATCGAGGCGTGACAAAGAGACGCCCTGCCGCGCCGGCACCGTGACCTTGCCCTCATGGCGCTCGCTTCCGTGAATGTGAGCCTCGCCATCCTCACCTGGCAGTCGGACGCAAAAGCGTCCGCCAATAATTGCGCTTTCGACTGGGTCGTCGCTGGCGCGTGCTGGCTCACTCTCCCGTTCGCGCAGGCGATCGTTGCAGTCGCCCTCACGGCTGTCACGGACTTCAACTCGCGGGAATCTGCTGCGTTGCCCGTACTTGGGTCCTTGAAGGGATGCGACAAGCAGCTTCAATTCCGGCTGCTCGACAGCGGCGGCACAGCTGCCAAGGCGGACCTATCGCTGGGAGACCTATCTGGCACAGACGTCGTCATCGGTCCTGTTCTCGACACAGTCTCTACCACCACGGCGACTTCCACCGGTGCTCGTGGCATCCCGCAGATCTCATACGGGTCAACTTCAGCCGACCTGTCCGATACCGTCCTCTATCCTCGCTTCATGAGGACCATCCCCTCGGACGTTGCGGCCGCGTCGGGCCTCTGCTCCTTTTGGAAGCGTGAGCTCGGGCTCTCGACCGTGGCCGTGATACATGAGCAGACCACGTACGGGCGCGCCTACGAGTCAGCAGCAAAGGCAGCGTGCCAGGAGGGCGGCTTGACAGTTGTCAGCGAAGAGTTTTCCGAAGATGCATCGATCCGCGATGACTCGATCCGTTCTGCTGTAGACAGCCTGAGCAGCAGCGGGGCCAAGGCAGTGCTTGTCCTTGCTTTGAACCAATACAGCATTCGCCTTATGGTAGAGCGTGCGGTGAACACTGGTCTGCTCAGAACTGGCACCTCTTGGGTGTTCACTGACAAAGTCGGAGCCGCCACGCTCGAAATCGACGGCGGCGCGCCACTGAGCGAGGCGGCGCGGATAGCGCTGAACGGCAGCCTGCAGATCAAGGCGGTCGGCGCGACCGACGGCAACCCGCAGTGGACCAAGTTCGCAAACGAGCGCTGGGCGACGCTTCAGCCTAGAGACTTCAACCCGTTCCTGCCTGCCGACTGGCAGATCCGCGACGACTTCTTCAGCACCGTCAATCCAAAGACGAGTGCACTGCTGCGCGATGGCAGTGTGTTTGCTTACGATGCCATCATAGCGGCAGGGCTGCTGTCCTGCAAGGTGGCCCCGACGGGCCCGCTGCCGGCGTCGTTTGGCACGCTGTTCTGGGAGTCCAAGCAGAACCTGTCGTTTGACGGCCTTTCCGGGCGCGTGGAGTTCGACGAGAAGGGCGACAGGAGTAACGCGAACGTGCAGCTGTTCAACCTGCTCGACCAAGATGGCTTTTCCGAGAAGTACGTAGCACAATTTAGCAACGGCACGTGGACTTGGGACGGCGGATCACGCGAGAGCAGCGGCGTGATCTACAACTTTGGGGAGGTCGAACCACCGTTTGACGCGTCGCCCCCGCCGCCGCACCCACCGCCACTGCCGCCGTCGACCCCGCCCCCGCCATTTGCGCCATCCTTTCTTGCGGTCGGCGGGGAGGGTCTTCTTTCCCGGAGTGTCGTGTCGGCCATTTGCGCCGTTGGGGCCTGCGCCCTTCTCCTGCTGTGCTTGTACTTCGCACTTCGCCGCAAACGCCCAGTTGTCGTGGCGCCCAAGGATGAACTCCATCGCATGGAGTCGGAGATAACGGAGGTGTTCAATCGCATGTCGGGGCGCTTCAATGCCGAGGAGGTGACGTTGACCAACATCCTCGACTCCTACGACCGCTTCGCCTCGGCGCCGCGCGAGCTCGTCTTCGGCCGGCCAGCGCAAGCTGCGCTAGGCGTCGAGGCGTATATGTGCGTGCCAGAGATCATCGTTCACCAGGGCCGGATCGACGGGACCGCGGCCATCGTGAGCGAGGTGACTGTGTCCCATCGCCGGATCGCCGCACACTCTCGCACTCACCCCCTCTCACCCTAATCGCCTCTCCCTGCAGGTGAGCCTAGCTGGGACGGATGTCGACAAGGAGTGTCTCGCCTACGTCCTGTACGCCGAGGCCGGCTCGAGCGACCTCACCTTTCAGGGCGGCCTCAAGCGCGACTGCGACGAGAACGGCGCCGTGCTGGAGTCGCGCACTGTGTGCGACGGCGCGGCGAGACGCGGCATGCTCCTTCGCGACTTTGTGGCGCACGAGCACTCGCGGCTCGCCAACCTCGAGCAGGCGCACGTCGTCGCCCTGCGGCTGTACACCACCGCCGCCTTCGAGTCGATCAACAACCCCCTCCGAGACTGGGCGCGGTACGAGCGAGGGGAGCCCCACCCGCTGCCCGCGACGGTCGCGCTGTTAAGGGACGCCCTGACGAAGCTCCGCTCGGTGGAGGCCGAGGTCAGCCGCGAGAGCGCCAGCTCGCAGCTCCTCCTCTACCGCGGGATGAAGGACGTGGCCGCGCCTGACAGCTTCATGGCCGACGGCGGCACGGAGCTCGCCCCCATGTCGACGACGTCTGACCTGAGCGTTGCGCTGCGCTACTCGGCGAGCCGCACGATGACCTCTGACCACGTGCTGCTGCGGCTGATCACCGACTCCTTCTACGACCGAGGCCCGAACGTATCCTTCTTGTCCGCGTTTCCAAACGAGGCGGAGTACCTGTTCCCGCCGCTGACCTATCTGCAGCCAACCGGCCGCACCGAGACGGTGGCCGCGTGCGGCATGTCCTATCAGGTGGTGGACGTGAAGCCCCGGGTTTAGGTCATGCGGCCGAACGTGGAAGTGCAATGTGGTTGCATGAAAATGTGCAAGTTGTTGTGTTGAGTGCGCGTGGATGAGGGGGGGGGGGGGGGGCGGGGGCGGGGGTGTCAAATGCGCCGGGTTTGCCGGGTTCCTTTGCCAGCAAGTCCGCCCTGCAAACCGCCCGTTGACGCGTGCTCGCGGAACTGGTCCGCGGCGCCCGCCAGGGGCGTGCGCGAGACAGGGCTTTTGATTGTTGTGTTTGTACCCCTAGTCTAGCGGAAATTTTCAACGTTCACCCATCCAAGGGATTAGGGTCAGCTGTCCAGTCGAGAGTCACTGTCAAGTCACTGGGGAAGGGGGTGGACGGTGGGTGAACCCAGCCCGGCAGGCGGATTCGAGGCACGAGGCTCCCACGCACACGCCGTTCGCCTCTCCCCTGAGGTGAGCCTGCTTCCATCGTGGGCTGCCGGTTCGTACGAGTACGGATGCGGCGACGTGCTGCGCAGCGAGCCCCGCAGCCTCGCTTCGTCGACTCGCGTCGATGGAGATCTGTTCTCCCAGATGGATCCGGAGCAGTCGTGGATGGCATTAGCTTTGCGGGTCCCATAGCAGAGAGCCATTCGAGAAGCGACGAAGAGCTGATCGACCCTCTTCGTCTGAGCCACTTTTTGATGAAGCTCATCGATCTGGGCTGATCTCGCGAGTGTTTTCTCCTTTCACGACCGATTCTTTCTCTGACGACTTCCACCATGATGCTCAGCTGTTTCATTCACCCAACACCCATAGCGTTTGGTGTCCAATCACCAGACTGTTCTTAACCTGCGTCACCCTGCACGGTCATCGTGTCGGACTCGTGGAGCTCTCCGCACCAAATCCTGATGCCGCGAAGATGAAGTTGACGTGGGGCGAAGGCCAGGGCTTTCGGCAGGACGCCCGTATTAAAGTGGTCTTTCTCAGTGTACGTACTTTTAGCTTACTGGGAGAAATGAGAGAGGGGGTTGTGTTCTCTCTCTCTCTCTCTCTCTCAGTGTATGTAGCTCTTACGAACATACCCGTACATACCCGAAGGTGAACTGCTGACAGGGTTTGCGATGAGGAGCGATCCGAACGTGGTATTCGGGTGATTTTTCGTAAATCATTAAAGCAGTCCTCTATTTTTTGAGCTTAGCCTTCGGTGTTATGAAACAACGCAAGGCGGACATGGCATATCGCTCTCGGGCCCACAGACATCCCGCACACTCGCCGCACACCCGCCGCCCCCGCGCGCGCCCCACCCCGGCCGGGAGAAAGGGGAGTGACAGTTTGGGATGGCAACAGCCCGAGTATGTTGAGTCCTGGCTCAACAACGCAGATAACTCTATTTTTTTGAGCTAAACTTCGATGTTGATAGAAAGAAGGCACACACAACATGACGCCAAACGCACGATCGCACGCACCGAGCCGCACCCCGCACCCCGCGCCCGCCGCGCCCCCGGCCCCCGCCCCGCCCAGGTGGGAAGGATATGAGGAGATGGAACAGCCCGAGGGAGAAGCGGAACGAAAATACGAATGCGAGAGGGAGAACTTTCGGCAGTCGTAGGTCGTCGGGAAGTGGCGAGTCACGCTCGTGCGGACAGCATCGATGCCGGCGCCGGACGCGGCGGCGAGGCACACGGGCGCCGGCGTGGCGCGTCGGCAGGCCCACCACGAGCGGATGCGCGACGAGCGCGCTCGGGAAGCGGCCGCGGGCGAGGCGGAGCTTCCGCCGGAGGACGACGCGGTCGAGATGGCGAGCGCCGTCCACGTGCTGGACAGCGTGGGGGAGGTGGGCGCGAACTACACCCTGCTGCGCAGCAAGGAGACGAAGGCGAAGCGGCGGAAGCGAAAGCGCGAGGATGCCAGGGCGGCGCTCGACGGCCACACTGTCCTGTCCACCGGATCGCGCCTCGAGATCTTCTGCGACAGCGAGCGGTGGTACCCTGCGACCGTCATGGCGCGGGAGGAGGACGGGGACGGACGGATCGTGCACGAGGTCGAGTACGACGGCTACCCGGATCGGCGGTGGTGGCACATGCTGGACGACGAGCGGTGGCGCGCCGTCCCAGAGCAGGCCGGCGCGGGCGCAGGCGGCGCTGCCGCAGACGGGGATGGGGATGCGGCGATGGACCGCTACCCGCAAAATGCCGATTTTGGCCCCAAAACAGCCTCAGACACGGCTCAGAGCCCCCCCAAAATGACGAATTCCACGGAGTTTCCCCGGGGTTTCCCGAGGAAACTAGAGGGTGTTGTAGGGAAACGAGCAGGAAACACGGCGAGAGGAAACCATAAAAAACAACTTTTTTTAACGTACACACCGCCATCACACACAAAATCAAAGCAGAAAAAAAAAACAGCGCTGAGAGGGGTTGTCTTTTATCACTGCCGGATCTCATATGCCTGGCGTATCCAGCCAGGAATGGACTCGGCTTGGCGAAACGCCTCTCCCGGATAGCCCCTCGGAAAGAGCATCGATCTGCGCGGCGCTATTGCACATCGCCGCCGGATCCACTCCGTGACATTGGGA